TGCCAACCCACTGTGAAAAGCCATGGGGGACACTACGTTCACATTTCTTCACAAATCTTGATTTTTTCCCCTGAATCTGAATGCTTCTAAAGATATATTGTAGCGGTTCTGGTACTGTTCCTTCTCACTGTTAATCAACTAGACTTGTTATTTTTTAGTGCTCAGGTTATTTCAGTGACATTATTTTGCTGTTTCCACCTTCCCCACATCCGTAGCCTGCCTGTGCCCACCGTCAGCCCAGCACGGCAGGGTTTTTGGCACTTTGTGTCTCTTCCCTGAACACATTCATCTGTTGGGCACCACCAGTGGCTCCAATTGCCCTGCTTTTAGCGTTGCCACAAGCACAGATTGCTTTTCCACACTGGGAAAATGCCCAATTGATTTTGGGCTCCTGTGGAAGGATAATTCTTAAGGTCAATGTTTGCCATTTATCTGATCACACAGACTCCTCTCAGCTGCCTCTTCTCCATTTTGTTCACAGAAAACCCAGGGCCTACACTTCAGTCTGTCTCCAGCCAAGCTACCAGATTTCCCGATTCCCATTCTTTAACCTCCACCACATTTGGGCTTGAACTTCTCTTAAACATCTGCAAATGAAGTCAGTTCCTTTGAAAGAAACTTTTATGATCTGCATCGTTCCCCACGAAACCTCAGAGCCAAGGCTCTGGAGATGGAGTGGGGATAATGGTTCACTTGTCACCAAGAGATGCCCTCGTTAGAGCTCAGTGCTGGGTACATGAGGGTCAGTAATAAACAAGTCCTCCAGGCCAGCTTTTCTCCACATGAAACCACTCTCTTGCAAGCCTAGCTAAGGGCAACTGAGGACCCCACATTTTCAGCAGTAGAGTACTCATGGGGGACCCCTGAGTTGGGACAGGATAGGAGGGAGTCCTTTCCTCTTGGCTGTGTTCATTTGAAGCTTAGCCTCATCAACATATACTGAAGGCCACATGAGAAATGCTGACTCCTGGCTGTTCCCAGAGAGAGCACACTCCACCTGGGAGCTGGGGCAGATGAAACCCCATGTTCTTGGCCACAAAAGGCTAGCGTCAAGCTTATGTCTTGTTGGATTGTGTGTGTGTGTGTGTGTGTGTGTGTGTGTGTGTGTGTGTGG